ACGCGTTCTGACTGAGGAGGAAGAGTGAGCGACCACGCGCATGCGCGCCAACCAACGGCAAAACAAGACGGAAAAGCCGACACTCCGCCCCCTTTATTTTCTCCTCCTTTCCACTTCGCTCGCGCAGCGGCTGTCCCCTCAGAGCGCGAGCGCCCAAGCGCATGCGCACCAATGGTAAAACGAGACACTCCGCCCCTTTCTCTCCTCCTCCTTTCCACTTCGCACGCGCAGCGGTTGTTCTCGGAGAGCGCGCGCACGCGCATGCCTCTCTCTGTCCCCTCCCCCCGACTCTTTCTCTTTCTCCCCCACCTTCTCAACTGCTGCCAACCCAGCGCCCTACCTCATTGGCTGGCCCCGCCCCCATACCCTGCCCAGCAACCGATTTCTGACTGGTCCCCAGCCTCGCGGGGTCCTCTTCGTCCTGCGGGCAAATGAGAAAGCAGCAAGAGTAACCGCCACAACCCCCGCGAGCCAAACAAAAAAAATAAAAAAGGGGCGGAGCTCTGGTTGGGCTGCTGTCCAATTAGAAGCTCCCCCGCTCCTGTGTCTTTGGTTCTAGCTTGGTGGTTTGAAGGCTGGACTCTGGAATCCAGGGTTCGAATCCCAGTATGTCCATAAAACCCACTGAGTGACTTTGGGCTAGTCACATTCTCTCAACCTCATAGGATGGCAATGGTAAACCCCCTCTGAAGAAACTTGTCAAGAAAAAACCCATGATAGATTCCCCTTGTTGGTGTGTGGCTTGAAGTCTTTTCTAACTTATGGCCACCCTGTTATGAGGTTTTCTTGGCAAGACTTGTTCAGAGCAGGTTTGCCATTGCTTTATGCTAAGGCTGAGAGAGTGTGACTTATCCAAGGTCACCCAGTGGTTTTCATGGCTGAACTGGGAATTGAACCCAGAGTTGTAGTTCAACCCTGTTATTTACAGTATCATTATTTTTGCCTTCTTTCTGTTCAGCATTAAGCCTGCCCTCACACTTTCATCTTCGACCTTTTTTTACACACACACAAAGTAGATCTACTGAATCAAGGAGAATGAGGTGTTCATTTTTTTATTTTATTTTGAGGCAATGAATCTTAGAAGTAATACCTAGGCCCAAACACACTGCAGAAATAATCCAGTTTGAGACCACTTTAACTGCCCTGGCTCAGTGCTAGGGAAGCCTGGGAATTGTAGTTTTTATTGTGGCACCAGAGCTCTCCAACAGAGAAGGCTAAATGTCTCACAAAACTATAGATCCCAGAATTCCCTAGCACTGAGCCAGGGCAGTTAAAGTGGTCTCAAACTGGATTATTTCTCCAGTGTGGTTTGGACCCTAGTTTTAGGAGGAGGTGGCCATCATTGGGCCCTTAAGATGGTGTTTGACTAAAACTCCCAGTATTCCTCACAGGGCTGCTGGGAGATACAGTCCAACCACATCTGAGCGGCCATGTTTTCAAACCCTACTGGATTTTTTATTTTATTTTATTAGGCCTTACCTCCAAGTATCCCTTTCGGTCTCAACAAAAGGGATATTCATGCATACTTCTCTTTACAGTTTCCAAACAGAAAAAGGCTTTTTTTTAGCCCATTCTGGATTGCTTCACCTGCCTGGTCTCCACAATTATTGGAGACAAATCAGGACAAATAAATCTGAGTGGGTGGAAGTGGAGAAAAACATGTTTCCACTGGCAGTTTCTCAACACACTTCGGCCCAGTTCTTCTGTAGTACAATGTAAATTTGATAAAAACTAGTACTGACACCTTTTTTTCCTGGCAGGGATCTTCTACAGATGACAAGAAGAAACACAGCAAGTGAAGCTTTCTTCTCAGTCGCACAACAACAACATAAAACTCAAAAATTGTTTAAGGTGTCTCTAAAACCTGCCCTTTAAAATTTCAAAAGTTACTTGAGGGGCAGCTGGCATCCCTAAGTCCAGACAACTTCTGTACATGAATGAAATGGAGGAGCTGTCATTTGTGTCCTTTGCCGGACGCAGAAAAATATGTAATTTTTGTCCTTAGGAAAATCACATATTTTTCTGCCTGAGGCAAAGGACGTAATGAGAGCTCCTCCATTTCATGTACAGAAGTTGTCTGGACTTAGGGGTGCACTGAACCCTCAGGAAACAAAAGTTATCTCAGCCATCCATGTGGACAATTTTGGATTTTGGAATATTTTGGATTTCAGAATTCTGGATAAAGAGAGATTCAGTCTGTAAAAGGAAAATCCAAAACACTTGGTTTCAAGCATTTTGGATTAGGGAGGCTAATCTTGTAAAAAGACTGAACAAGATTCCACCCATCCCCATACAACAAAACCTTTATTTTTAGATGTGGACCTTTCTTAAAGATAGAAATGTGTGCATTGTTGAATGTGGATAACGTTAATTCTGTGGCTTGGTTAACTAAAAGCAATACTTTAATTTGGTATTTTGGAAGAATACAAACTTGCAAATGTAATATCGGAACCATTGGCAATAATCTTTGAGAATT